ATATGGTTTTAGATATTATCTATAGGTACTCTACTAAAGTTGTTCAAATTTTGCCTCTAGCGTCAAAATTAGCCCCGCCCCGAGGGTCATAGGTTTTCCTTTTATGTATATAGTAAAAACTTAAAAAATCATCTTCTTGAAATTGTCAAAGGCTAGAGGTAAGATATTTTGCATGAAACATTGTGTAGTGAACCTCTACCAAGATTGTTCAGATTATTGCCCTGGGTTCAAAATTGGTCCCGCCCCAGGGGTCATTGATTTTCACTATGTACATATAGTAAAAAATTGAAAAATCTTATTGTACAAGGCTTACAGCTTTGATATTTGGTATATGATATCATCTATAGGTACTCTACCAAAGTTGTTCAAATTTTGCCTGTAGTGTCAAAATTAGCCCAGCCCCGGGGTCATGAATTTTCCTTTTATGTATATAGTAAGGCCAAATAAAAAAATATGTCTGGTTCAGGAAACATTGGTCCAAAAAATTAGGAGGGTAGGGATTTTTTTTTTTTTTTTTTTTTTTTGGTTGGGAGTATATAGATGTGTTGCTTGCTTATACTTAAACAAAGATTGTAATCAATCAATGCAAACACCATTTTGTAATAGACTATCAGCATGTGATATTGTGTTGTTTATTTCTTGTTTTCTTGTATGTTGTCATTTAACCATGTACCACCTGTATTCATACTAATTTGCTTTCTATTCTGCTTATTCCTGCCCTGTCTGTTCCTGGCATATATCAATGATTTGCCAGAAGCTGTCAAAAGTAAAACCAGGTTATTTGCGGATGACACTATAGTCTATTTGACAATTAAAGGACAGACTGACGCTGACAGACTACAGGACGACCTACATAAACTTGAAGTTTGGGAACGGGACTGGGCTATGGAGTTCAACCCAGACAAGTGTGAGGTGCTGAGGATCACCCGTTAAAAGAACCCCACAATCTTTCCATACACCCTTCATAATAAAACTCTCAAATCAGCAGAATCTGCAAAATACCTTGGAGTAACTATCTCTAAAGACCTAAACTGGACACAGCATATAAATAACATCACCTCCAAGGCCAAAAATTCTCTAAGATTCATCCAGAGAAACGTCAAAACCCAAAACAGGCAACTCAAAACATCAGCCTATGTTACTTATGTCCGACCACAACTAGAATACTGTTCCACCATATGGCACCCCTGGCAGAAACATCAAAGTCATAAGATTGAAAGTGTCCAACGAGCTGCGGCCAGATATGTCTGTAATAATTATAATTTCGAGAGTACTGTGTAACCCAAATGCTTAATGAACTTGGGTGGCCTTCCCTAGAAAGCCGCAGACTCCAGTCCTCCCTAGTAGTGTTCTATAAAATACAATACAAACTTGTATATGTTGACCATAACCATCTGACCCCAACTAGAAATCTGAACTTCCTGATCCCCCAGTCCCGTACCCAATATCATCTAAATTCCTTCTTCCCTAGAACTCTCAGGTATTGGAATAGCCTTCCATATCAGGTCAAATCCAGTCCCAGCCTAGATGCCTTCAAGGATAGGTTGGCGACAGTCACCTTCTAGTCCCCTCCCCAGTATGTTTTTAATCTTGCACTATTTCTTTTATCCTGCACCTTTTTTATACGCCCGTTTGAAAAACGGGACGTATTATGGGAACGCCCCTGGCGGGCGGGCGGTCGGGCGGGCGGGCGGCGTCCAATTTTGTCCGGAGCATATCTCCTACATGTATGGAGGGATTTTAATGAAACTTCATAGAAATGTTCACCACTTTGAGGAGCAGTGTCGCGCACATGAACCAGGTCTCTAGGTCAAAGGTCAAGGTCACACTTAGAGCTCATTGAAAAATGCTTGTCCGGAGCAAAACTTCCACATGTATAGAGGGATTTCAATATTACTTGGCACAAATGTTCACCATTGTGAGGCGGAGTGTCGCGTGCAAGATTCAGTTCCTTGCGGCCAAGGTCAAGGTCACACATAGAGGTCAAAGTTCAGATAAAAATATGAAGATGTGTATATGGACCATTTAGTCATCATTTATTGAGGGATTGTAACACAAATGGTCATTATCAAGACTATGGCTGTGATACATATAATTTAGGTCAATATATACAAGGTCAAGGTCACTAAAGATGATGAAATATCCAGATTTTGTAAATAGAATTTAATCAAAGGGCGACAACAAAGTTATTACTTTGTTCATAAATGACTTACACAATTACTCCCCTTGATCTACTTTCACTTTCAATTCTAAAAATAGAATTTAATCAAAGGGCATAAAATAATCCTCTTTCTTGGACTTGATTATGTTCTAAAGAATGTAACATTTATTTACACATGTTTCATTCATTGGTCAAGATTCTTAACTGTGATAACTATGGTGTTCTGTAGACTTGGTATTTGTTCATAAAGATCATACAGTAATTACCTTATCAAATGTAAATACTTTCTCATAGAAATTTAATTATATTTTAATTTTCAAGTAAATATCAGTTCAGCTCTCCTACATGTATGGAGGGATTTTCATGAAACTTCATAGAAATGTTCACCACTATGAGGAGCAGTGTCGCGCACATGAACCAGGTCTCTAGGTCAAAGGTCAAGGTCACACTTGGAGCTCATTGAAAAATGCTTGTCCGGAGCAAAACTTCCACATGTATAGAGGGATTTCAATATTACTTGGCACAAATGTTCACCATTGTGAGGCGGAGTGTCGCGCGCAAGATTCAGGTCCTTGCAGCCAAGGTCAAGGTCACACATAGAGGTCAAAGTTTAGATAAAAATATGAAGATGTGTATAGGGACGATTTAATCATCATTTATTGAGGGATTGTAACACAAATGGTCATTATCATGACTACGGCTGTGACACATGTACTTTAGGTCAATATATGCATGGTCAAGGTCACTAAAGATGGTGAAATATCCAGATTTTGTCTGGAGCATATCTCCTACATGTATGGAAGAATTTTTATAATACTTTATGGAAATGTTCGCCACCATGATATGTATTGCTCCATGCATGATCCAGGTCTCCAGGTCAAAGGTCAAGGTCACACTTAGAGCTCATTGAAAAATGCTTGTCCGGAGCAAAACTTCTACATTCATAGGGGGATTTCAATATAACTTGGCACAAATGTTCACCATTGTGAGGCTGAGTGTTGCACGCAAAATTCAGATCCCTGCGACCAAAGTCAATGTTACACATAGAGGTCAAAGTTCAGATAAAAATTTGAAGATGTGTATAGGGACCATTTAGTCATCATTTATTGATGGATTGTAGCACAAATGGTAACTATCATGACTACAGGTGTGACACATTTAATTTAGGTTAATATTTGCAAGGTCAAGGTCACTGGAGATGATTAAATATCCAGATGTTGTCCGGAGCATATTTTCTACATGCATGGAGGAATTTTAATGTTACTTTATAGAATTGTTCACCACCATGAGACGTAGTGCCCTGCACATGAACCAAGTCTCTAGGTCAAAGGTGAAGGTCACAGTTAGAGCTCATAGAAAAACGCTTGTCTGGAGCAAAACTTCTACATGCATAGAGGGATTTCAATATAATTTGGCACAAATGTTCATCATTGTGAGGCTGAGTGCCGTGCATAAAATTCAGGTCCCTGCGACCAAGGTCAAGGTCACACATCCTGTGCATATCTTCCCTACTGATTTGTTTTAAGGTTCATTTAACAACACAGTGCCAAGAATAAAAACTTGCTTGCTAGATAACACTTATCCATAATGCCCCCATCTCCATCTAAAGCTTTCGTAAACGGGCGTATTTTGTGACTATGGCACCCTTGTTTATCTGTGATCTTCATCTTTTAGTACGCACCTAATACTTTTAACACAGTTTTCCTGACAAGCGCCTCCCAGTAATAGTCAGAATTGATTGTTCGGGAGTAACATGTAGATGTAGATGTTATTATGTACCCTTTTCCTTTGAATCACCCGCTGTTACTATGCTTAGTTCCTGCATCTGACAGGTCTGACAATTAAAAGATCAAGGGTCACCTTTGTAACATGTTAATATTAATGTTGTATTATAAGCTAAGAGCATCTGATATGCACTATTCCGGGGACCAAAACAACACAGCTATATATAATTTTAATATTAAACAAATTCAAATGGTCTTCAGGGGGCGCAAGTCTATAGATATATATGTGCAACTGGTGCCAACAGTTGCAGGGTTCACACAAAGAAGGAGTCTTGGGACTCCCAAGCACAAAAAGTAGGAGTTCCAAATCACATTGAATATGTAAAGCCATCTTTGCTGCACTTATATGCAGTTGACAAATATGATGTATAGCAGAGTTACTATAAAGGGGTTAGAGTTTGAACAGAGAAAAGGCTTATTCAGGAATGGTAATATGCCCCAAATGGAAAACACTGTACCATAAAAGTGATTGAAAAGATTTGAAATATAATGTCAAAAACATACATCATCAGACCATTATGCTGTTTTCATACACACCCCCCCCCCTCCCTTAAAAAAGAAAATATTCATTGTATGTTACAAACACATACTGGTAATGGCTCCATCTCAACTAATGTAAACAATATCTTTAGTAAATTTAATTCCTAAGCTATATTTTAAGTGTTATTACACACATTTTAACAAAACATATCTTCCTTTTGGTTACGATTTTTTTAATTATAAAAAGCGGCATCGCGAAAATATGTGACAATTGAAAATTTGTTTGTTTCCTGCAGAAACATTCACAATTCTACTTGTTGTTGATTTTGATCATATAAGATTTATATTTTTTTTATTATTTTAAGATTGTTACACATCGGCTATTTCAACAGGCATCGTAAAACAAAATTTTCACATTTGTAATTTTCGTACTCAAAAATTTTCGTACCGAAAATCAAAAAAAAAGTTTAGGGTCGGCGTTAAAAAAATAGGGTCGGTCGGGTTCCCTGAACCAGACATATTTTTTATTTTGGCCTAAAAACTTATGACTAAACACCTTTGTATTTTGCTTTTAGCTTATGGATGTAGATTTGGTGGTCCTTCGTCAGCAAAATCTCGCAGATAATAAAAGAATTGTAAGTAGACAAACAATTTTTATAATGCCTGAATACCTTCGGGACGAATTATTGTATGGCATTGTCCATCATTTTGTAGACTGGGCTGTGTATTGCCAGTAATGTAGTGATCCAATCCACAGTCCAGATCTGATGATTTACAAATCTTACCACAAATCTTCTTATTGTATATTATGATTAATAAATGCTATATCTTTTAATTATTCAATTACAGTCTGCTAAAAAACGTTTTGAATGAAAAAAAAAAATTAGGGCTGCAACAATACATCAAAAGCTTGATTTGATTATAGGCACCCAATTCAATTTTTATATGCCTGTTTTTAGTCCCCTACCGGTTTACCGGAGGGGACTTTAGGTTTACCCTCCGTCTGTCCGTCTGTCTGTCCGTCTGTTTGTCTGTCTGTCCGTCAGTTCGTCCACAAAACTGGATCCCGCGATAACTTGAAAAGTACTGAAAATATTTTTATGAAACTTGACAGGGCTAGACACTAACTTTTTTTAGAGGTAGTCAGAAGGACTACCTACTTTTAGGATCAGGTAGTCCTTGGCAAATTGAGGTAGTCCTCATTGTAAAAAATAAAAAATTGTTTCTCATTCTATTTCAATGCATTTTGAGTGTATTTATCTGAAGGTAAGAAAACAATAGCAGCAGATCTCTTCAAATTTATTGACAGAATCAAAATACATAAATTATATGAGATCAAGTAACAGTCTATAAGCTTTGTTCTGCATGAGATGCATGTCCCGGCTGGCCTCTTGTTCAAATTCATCATCATTATCCACATCGCAAGTGGACAAGTCATCAACTAGCTGTTCGTAGTTAACACCAACATCATTCTCCACTGAATCAACATGAGATGAACTTGAAGCATTCTGAAACACAATTCAAATACTAAATGTCTAACATAAAAACTGGAGACCAGTTCCAGATAAAATTGTTAATGTTAGAATAGAACTGTTAATATTTAAAATTACAATTACATTTCTAAGAGAGAATTTTGCTTTTAGGAGAGTTTATTAAGCTAGCAAACAACATATTCAATATCAAAGTACCTTTGGCTTGAAAGAGTCATTGTAGAATGGCCTTCTCTGCCTTGTACCACAAGACTCCCAGTGGGCCACAGCTGCATCAGGATCAAAGTCCCCTATTGCTTCTCCTTCTGTGGATATCAGAAGTTGATCAGTAAGGCGCCTATCTGACAGACATGACCGCCAATCTGATTTCAGAATCTTCATCCTAGAAGTCAATCATTTTTTTAATATATCAATTCTACTTTAATAATATACATGTAATGTGTATTCATCCAAGTGTTATTGCATTGTCATGCTAATACTACTAGTACATGTACTGATCATTTCTGATGTTGTTATGTATAATCTATATTCCTTGTTTAAAGATATACTTAAATGAATGTTTTAATTATATTTAAATTTTTACAGATAAAAATGGATATATCACTATCAGGAGTTTGCAATTATTCAGCAAGACAGACACACTGTTAATGTCTTAAGATTATCATTAATATCTACCTATGAACAATGAAATATTTAACTAAATTACCTAGAAAAGCCTCTTTCTGCATCAACTGAACTGGATGGCAAAGATAGCAGGTAACTGACTAGTCCAAATAAATTTGGATACTTATCAGATGAAGACCCCCACAATGTTGACCATGACAGAGATCTTATCATGTTCTTCTTGCTAAAGAAAAAGCAGAAAAGCTATACTGATATCATTGACTGATGAAATAATAAATGCATCATAAATATTTTGTTGAAAATGACATGCTTATGAATAGATTTTTAATGAGCGAATATAAATTGCTTAAGTATTCTGAAAAAACTAAAAGGTGAGGTTTTATCGCATATACACATATTTATGATAAATACCATAAAATCCATCTAGTGCTAGCCTAGTTCATGATATAAATAGAAATGAAGTGATACCTGTTGTACACATCTGCCTTAAATCGTGTCCACTCTGGCTCTATTTCTTCGATGTCCATACCATCTTGTTCCACACATAAACTTAAAGCAGGTCTGCATACAGTTACTAAATCTGCTATATCAGCATCTCCAAAGTCAGCTAGAATAAATAAGGATTACATGAAAATTAAATAATTTCATTGGGCAGTCAGCTACTAAGAACATAATGGTAAACAAATTAAGTTTTTTTGCTAAATAAATGTGAAACATATGAATTCAGTGCTAAATGACCTTGATAACAAACTTATGAAATTAAAACATGTTACTGATAATTAAATATTAAAAAAAGGTAAATAAAAAGAAAGTTTTTTCTCTAAGTTGTTTTTTCTCTAATCAAAATGTAATGTTAAACATAACTAAAAGAAATATTACAATACTGATTCACATTTTTGTGCATATTGTACCTAAATCATCATTCATCTCTTCCGGCCAGTTTTTAAAGCTGATGAAGTAGCTACCCTTGAAAAGATGGAGATCACCCTCAAATCTGGCATCAATAGAGTTGATTAATGCAGAGAGAAAGCTTTCTCTACTGTTGTCTGTGCTCATCTCAGAAGTATTATCATTAGCTGTTACTTTTCTCAGATAAGGCCCATCACTAGTATGTTAGTAATGCACAAATGATAAACAAGTTCTAGCTATGTTAGTTCAGCAGATAAAGAGAGTTGGACAAAGAAAAAAGGTTACATGCACTCTAGTTCTACAATATTATGTTACTAGCACTATGTTAATTAAGTATAAGTTGCATACAAAAAGCGATACATGTAAGCAGCAATAGATACATAAAGCAAGATACATTTACATACTAGAATACATATGCCATCTATAATTTGTCTATAAGCAGGGAAATTAGTGTTCAAAGGAAAAACATACAAAAAGCGATACATGTAAGCAGCAATAGATACATAAAGCAAGATACATTTACATACTAGAATACATATGCCATCTATAGATAATTGTCTATAAGCAGGGAAATTAGTGTTCAAAGGAAAGGTTAACAATTTCAAGCTATAAGTAAATTAGAATAGGTGTTCAAGCAAATTGCATGGCAAATACCAGTGCATAATCACATTTAAGGTCATACCTTGTTTTATACTTGTGTAAAATAGTCTTTGCAGACTCAATCTCATTCCACACTTCTGCTAAAGAGATGTTAGCCTCCTGAATAGATTCTGACACTTGACTTAGACATGAAACAATGTCCATAAGTAGATGGAGCCAAATGATAATGCGGCGGTCTTTTAACAGTTTGAGAAAATTCTTTCCCTTTGCAGCAGACTCCTTTCTGTGGGTGGGATCTGTAGGGTTCTGCATCTAAATAAGTGAATAGCAATCAATCAAAAACAAATCGCAATCAAATATCACAATATCAATTTACAAATTAAGTTATTGCTGTAAAATGTTCATTTCATTTAAACGTTAAATGAGTAATAATTAATTTCTTACCTGCTCAAGATGCTGAACAATGGCAGCATGTCCATGAATCAAATGCTTAAGAGCCATTTTTAGCTCGACTATTCGATAAGAATAAGTAGAGCTATTGTAGTACCCCGAGCGTCGGCGTCGGTGTCGGCGTCGGCGTAACCACTTATGTTTAAAGTTTTTGTAATAGTTCAAATATTTTCAAAGTCCATTAACATATGGCTTTGAAACTTTGCACACTTGTTCACCATCATGACCCCAACCTGTAGACAGGAGGAGGTAACTCTATCAAGCATTTTGACAGATTTATGCCCCTTTTTGGACTTAGAATTTACGTTAAAGTTTTTGTAATAGTTCAAATATTTTCAAAGTCCATTGACATATGGCTTTGAAACTTTGCACACTTGTTCACCATCATGACCCCAACCTGTAGACAGGAGGAGGTAACTCTATCAAGCATTTTGACAGATTTATGCCCCTTTTTAGCTCGACTATTCGATAAGAATAAGTAGAGCTATTGCAGTCACCCGAGCGTCGGCGTCGGCGTAACCACTTATTATGTTAAAGTTTTTGTAATAGTTCAAATATTTTCAAAGTCCATTGACATATGGCTTTGAAACTTTGCACACTTGTTCACCATCATGACCCCAACCTGTAGACAGGAGGAGGTAACTCTATCAAGCATTTTGACAGAATTATGCCCCTTTTTCGACTTAGAATTTACGTTAAAGTTTTTGTAATAGTTCAAATATTTTCAAAGTCCATTGACATATGGCTTTGAAACTTTGCACACTTGTTCACCATCATGACCCCAATCTGTAGACAGGAGGAGGTAACTCTATCAAGCATTTTGACAGAATTATGCCCCTTTTTCGACTTAGAATTTACGTTAAAGTTTTTGTAATAGTTCAAATATTTTCAAAGTCAATTGACATATGGCTTTGAAACTTTGCACACTTGTTCACCATCATGACCCCAACCTGTAGACAGGAGGAGGTAACTCTATCAAGCATTTTGACAGAATTATGCCCCTTTTTCGACTTAGAATTTACGTTAAAGTTTTTGTAATAGTTCAAATATTTTCAAAGTCCATTGACATATGGCTTTGAAACTTTGCACACTTGTTCAACATCATGACCCCAATCTGTAAACAGTAGGAGGTAACTCTATCAAGCATTTTGACAGAATTATGCCCCTTTTTCGACTTAGAATTTACGTTAAAGTTTTTGTAATAGTTCAAATATTTTCAAAGTCCATTGACATATGGCTTTGAAACTTTGCACACTTGTTCACCATCATGACCCCAACCTGTAAACAGGAGGAGGTAACTGTATCAAGCATTTTTTTTACTATCAAGCACTAAGAATAGTCGAGCGTTGCTGTCCTACCGACAGCTCTTGTTGGACTTAGAATTTACGTTAAAGTTTTTGTAATAGTTCAAATATTTTCAAAGTCCATTGACATATGGCTTTGAAACTTTGCACACTTGTTCACCATCATGACCCAAACCTGTAGACAAGAGGAGGTAACTCTATCAAGCATTTTGACAGAATTTTGCCCCTTTTTGGACTTAGAATTTACTTTAAAGTTTTTGTAATAGTTCAAATATTTCCAAAGTCCATCGACATATGGCTTTGAAACTTTGCACACTTGTTCACCATTATAACCCCAACCTGTAGACAGGAGGAGGTAACTCTATCAAGCATTTTGACTGAATTATGCCCCTTTTTGGACTTAGAATCTTGTTAAAGTTTTTGTAATAGTTCAAATATTTTCAAAGTCCATTGACATATGGCTTTGAAACTTTGCACACTTGTTCACCATCATGACCCCAACCTGTAAACAGGAGGAGGTAACTATATCAAGCATTTTTATGCCCCCACAATGTGGGAGCATATAGCGTTGCACTTGTCCGTCTGTCCGTCCGTCCGTCCGTCCGTCAGTCCGTCCGTACGTCCCGAAATCTTGTGAACGCAACTCCTCTTAAACCGGATGGCAGATTTTGCTTAAACTTACAGGGATGAACAACCTTAATGTGAAGATGGTAGTAAAGGAAGGAATTTTTGCTGCGACCAAATTTAACAGAATTATGGCCCTTTGTTGATTTTTTCACTAGATACTATGTAGAAATTTTGTGAACGCAACTCCTCTTAAACCGCATGGCAGATTTTGCTTAAACTTACAGGGATGAACAACCTTAATGTGTAGATGGTAGTAAAGGAAGGAATTTTTGCTGCGACCAAATTTAACAGAATTATGGCCCTTTGTTGATTTTTTCACTATAATATAACTATGTAGAAATTTTGTGAACGCAACTCCTCTTAAACCGCATGGCAGATTTTGCTTAAACTTACAGGGATGAACAACCTGAATGTGTAGATGGTAGTAAAGGAAGGAATTTTTGCTGCGACCCAAATTTAACAGAATTATGGCCCTTTGTTGATTTTTTCACTATATACTATGTAAAAATTTTGTGAACGCAACTCTTCTTAAACCAGATGGCAGATTTTGCTTAAACTTCCAAGGATGAACAACCTTTATGTGTAGATGTCAGTAAAGGAAGGAATTTTTGCTGCAACCAAATTTAACAGAATTATCGCCCTTTGTTGTTTTTTTCATTATATACTATGTAGAAATTTTGTGAACGCAACTCCTCTTAAACCGGATGGCAGATTTTGCTTAAACTTCCAGGGATTAACAACCTTAATGTGTAGATGGTAGTAAAGGTAGGAATTTTTGCTGCGACCAAATTTAACAGAATTATGGCCCTTTGTTGATTTTTAGTTTTCAACTTGTGGCACATGTAGTCCAAAAAATATTTGACCTAGAGTCATAAGATTGACAGAACAGTGGCGTGTGGGGGCATCCGTGTCCTACAGTACGCTCACCGCGGGTTTTGCTTTTTCCGCGATACCACCGCGGACGATTTTTTTTTATCGCGGACAAACGCGGGGGTTCGTCCGCGATGAAACCTTATTCCCACCGCGATCCTCGGTGTTCAGTTGTTTCCACCGCGGACAAAATTCTGACGACCCTTCTTCATTCGTCGATAAAATCAGTCACCCGTTTCCCGCGGGGGAACGCCATGGTCAGTATAAATTAAAATCCAAAAATAATAGACGTTTTATTATTTTTTAACGTCATCGTTTTTACACAATGACTTGAAAATTGACCACAATCGTCTCCTTAAATGTTATTATACGTTACAACTGAAATCGTAATTTATCACTGTCATCTTTACTTTTTCATTCCTTGTGGTTCTCAAAGTATTATTGCTGTTAAACTATATGGGAGCCATAAATATGATGAGTAAAAAAAGGACATTTGTGCTGATTTCTCAATGATGACTGACGCTACAGTACATGTCTTGTAAGAGGTCGATGAGTGTGAATACAAGACAAGACATAAATAAAATACATGTACATATATTAGAAATAAAAGAAAAAGATATTTAAACCATCTATAAGATTTTATTTGTATGCAACTATATTCTTTAAAAACGGGTAGACTTGTTTGTTTGTGTTTTTTTTACAGTAAAAACCCCGTCGAAAATGGACATGAGAAATATGCATGACACTTGCCAAAAAGTTTTTGTATACTGTACATACTGTACAAAAATTCAAAAAGGTTCTCTTTAATTAATTTCAAGGAAAACTTAATATGATAAATACAAGAAAGCAAAGACAATTGCGTTCAATTGTATGTACTTAAAACTACATGTTGTCTACAAATACTATTATTCCTATGAACAATAATATCTTAAGATAAAAATAAAATGAAATATTTTTAACTTGAAAATCGGTCGATGGAAGTTCTTAGAAAATAACTGCCATGTGCTTGTTTGCCTTATATACATGTATGTACATGCATACTGTTCATAATAAAATAACAAAAAGTATAACGTCAAGTTTAACAAAATTCTGCAAAAAAAAATCTATAAAAAAATAAAAAAGAACAAACAAACAAACTACTGAAACAAAAATGAAAATAAACTTCAACAGTTGATACAAACTTCAAAACATATACATTACGCTCACACCTGTAATTAGATATAATCAAGAATATCATTTAATGTATATTTTGGTGAAATAAACGCTTTCTTTTAATTTTCCAAATAAAATTTAAGACTTTATGATCAACATGCAAATAAACAGAAACAGTAAAACGCATCTGACAATTGAAAGAGACGTCCTGGAATATTGCCTGAATAAATTGTTGAGGGTTACGTTTTCAAAGTTTTTAAATAAGAAACAAAAGCTGACATATAAATTGTTGTAGTATCTTTTTCATAAATGTCATATGCCGAATTTTTCATTATTTGACATCAAGTTTCTCACTACCATGAAGTTGCGACGACAATGATTTATCTTGATGTCGAATACATATTATACATTACCCAACACAATAACAAGAAGAAGAACAAGACAACACTGTATTTGTACATGTACTTTTATTAAAACAAAAAAGAAAGAAAACAAACAAATTTTACATATAGTTACATGTATATGTACAGTACATGTTACAGTACATGTACGTACGTATACTGATGTTTAAATACAGTAATTAATTTTTAAAATTTAAGGTTTCCACCGCGTTGACCGGTGTTTGACCGCCGCGTTCCTCCGCAGTTTCCCACTGCGTTCCGCGGGGGAAACGGTTTCAGCCGCCGATTTATGTCCGCGGTGGTGAAAATTTTCTGTCCGCGGGGTCACGCGGACAATATCTGAGCAAATTTTTGTCCGCGGTAAACCTCGTCCGCGGGGTCACGCGGGTTTTGAAAAAGCCGCGCTGAGCGTACTGTATGGACACATTTCTAGTTTTTTACTATCAAGCACTAAGAATAGTCGAGCGTTGCTGTCCTACCGACAGCTCTTGTTGTATGTGGAAGCCAGCGTGTACCTCCAACTCGTGTTGGCAAAAGTACTTTAAGTCCAATACTCTCAAAAGATGACTTGAGGTTTGATCTGTTCAAAGGGCTGAGTCTGAAATGAATAGAACTGATGATCATTATGTTAATATATAATCAACATGTGCAAAATCAGTGCAGGACTGTCAAACAGCTGAAATTTCAGTATTATTTTATTTTGTCATGTATGTCAATGGATGTTAATAATTTTGTTAACATTCACAGTTTTGTTGTTAAGAATAATGTATATCTATATATTATATTGGCTGAAATAATTCCTTTTATTTGAATAATTAATGATTCTTTGCTAGTTACACATACTTGTAAAATAAGTAAAGGTTTAGAAGTAAAGCTTCACATTTTTGATGTGTAGTCCACTTAGTATTTACAGCCTTGACAGCATCTTTGTAGGCCAGCTCTAATCTGTAAAATTATAAAAGAAAGGTAACAATTATAACATGCAAATATGATGAAAAAAAGTCACTTGATGAAAACTGAAATGAAAGCAATATAAAAAAATGAAGGTAAAAATGAACATTTTATTTTTCATTTCAAAAGAGCAATGAATGACAATTATTTCTTTTATTTTTGAATTTATTTATATATAATTTTTCCATACAACTTTGCTGTTAAGTAATTAATTTAATGATTACCTATGTGCTGAGCAGTGAATGCCGTATATAAATGGCCTGTTGGTATGTTCCCTATGCTTAACAACCACCCCAGATTTCTTGCCAAGCATCACAGATGCACCATCTGTGCCAACTCCTATCACTTTTTCTTTCCAATCCTCCCCATAACGATCATTCAGGACATTAATAATGGCATTGCTGATATTCGTGCTATCAGCCTTGGCAACATTCCTGATGCCCATGAAATGTGTGTACACCTAAAATAATTAAAATTACAACTGGTTAATAGATATCTATAATTATATTATACGATTTTATTTAGATATATTACTGTTATAAAATACATATCAAAATGTGACACACAAAAGTCATTCGGTTTTAAAAGGTAAAACATGTACCATAACTTCAGGTAATGATAGTTGATAAACTTGATTCCAATCAGTTTTACACAAATTTATTTATCATCAAATATAACAGAATATTAAAACTCTTACATTGCCACTGACTGATGAACGGACATACACAATTTCAGCCTCTTATGAAGATGTGTCTGTAGACCCGTCACTGATTACTGATATGAATGGACTTGCTTTTATTTTTGCATCCTGTCTAGTTCGAATTGTGTCCGCAATTGAAGATATAAACATCTGACAGCTTTTGTCTGTTAGATAAGTACTGCCAATGTCCAGCCCTTTTGCAATGTCCAACTTGCATAACTGAACGTAATCTGTGTATGGTCGTCCACACTTGGCAACAAAGTGAGCGTTCATGAATAAATGCCTTAACTTTGCATGTGCTGCAGAATTCAACAATTTTAAAGTTCTATGGCCTTCTGAGCTAGGAGTGTTATCTGCCATTCCTACACAACGTAAGTGGCCCTCTGACTTATCATGAATACGGACACTTTGCAATCTAAAGTTATTACAGCCATTAACAAATGTGCCGGTTGTATCAAATTTTTGGCAAACCTTGCAACATCAACTTTTTATCGTTATCAAATGTCAACCATGGAAATTCTTTCGACCAGGACGGTTGAAAATTACGATTCCTTTTGGTTTTGTCATATTCACGCTGTGCCTCAAGCTGTTGGTCTCGTGTTTTGGCCTTTTTTTTGGCCGGCTCTTGAACATTTTCAATGAAACGCCACATATTTTCGCTTAAGTTTACACTCGTGGGTAGCCGACACTTGCAATTCCAAGCGCTTGACGTTTACGATCATTAGCGACCCAACGGACATTTAATTAATAACAATTGTTATTTTATTATTATTTTAAATGAATTTAAATGTATCAGGTCACTAAAATTTCGAGTAGCCCGACGGGATACCCAACTTGGAAACTTAGGTAGTCCTTATGGAAAAAAGGTAGCCTCGGGCTAACGGACCATCGTTAGTGTCGAGCCCTGCTTGATATATGGATAGATGGCAGTATGGAGATTATGCACGTCTTTTTCTTTTCTTCCTATGTTGAAAATTCTGGTTGCTATGGCAACAAATAGGCTGAAAATATGGCAAATTTTACACATAAACTGGATCCAGTGATAACGCAAAAAGTACTGGAAATATTTTTATGAAACTTGAAATATGGGTAGATGGCAATCTGGAGATTATGCACGTCTTTTTCTTTTCTTCCTATGTTGAAAATTCTGGTTGCCATGGCAACACATAGACTGAAAATATGGCAAATTTTACACATAAACTGAATCCAGTGAGGCCATCCTTAAAAAAATGTTTGTTTGCAGTAATGCGACCGACTCACAAAATATGCCCCTACTCAAAATTTTTTTTCATGGTCTGGATAAAAATTTTTTTTTTTGAATCAGGAAATTATGCCTTGTGCTTTGTTTTCGTTCTTTTATTAAGGTTAATAGAAGAAATAAAATGTAGGTCTTATTAAATTAGAATTCAGTTATCAATTTATTAATTGTTACCAGATTATCAAAGCATATAAATTATTGTCCAGCAATTTGAAATTCCATGTTTATTTGGGAGTACAGTTCAATAAAAAAAAATATAAAAAAATCGACCTACAGTTGTACCTACCCACCTTGAAAATTCTGGGTCGGGTTACTGCAAACAAACATTTTTAACCAGGTTTTCGAAAAAACTGGTTATTAGATTGAGGTATGTCGGCGGGCAGATGGGCGGGCGGGCGTAAACAATTTCTTCTGTGCGTAACTCCTCCTACATTTCTCAACATATTTTGACCAAACTTTCACAGAAGCTTTGTCATCAAGTGCCCTGGCGCATATTGTCGGGGTTTTGCGATTAGATAATATTTGACCTAACTATGGCCCTTTGTTTTTTTTCATTATATAGAATATATAGTGAACAATTTCTTCTGTGCGCAACTCCTCCTACATTTCTCAACGGATTTTGACCAAACTTTCACAGAAGCCTTGTCATCAAGTGCCCTGACACATATTGTCATGGTTTTGCAATTGGTATATATTTGACCTAATTATGGCCCTTTGTTTTTTTTCATTATATATAATATATAGTGAACAATTTCTTCTGTGCGCAACTCCTCCTACATTTCTCAACGGGGGCGGGCGGGCGGGCGGGCGGATGGGCGGACGGGCGGGCGTAAACAATTTCTTCTGTGCGCAACTCCTCCTACATTTCTCAACAGATTTTGACCAAACTTTCACAGAAGCTTTGTCATCAAGTGCCCTGGCGCATATTGTCGGGGTTTTGCGATTAGATAAAATTTGACCTAATTATGGCCCTTTGTTTTTTTTCATTATATAGAATATATAGTGAACAATTTCTTCGGTGCGCAACTCATACATTTCTCAACGGATTTTGACCAAACTTTCACAGAAGCTTTGTCATCAAGTGCCCTGACACATATTGTCAGGGTTTTGCAATTGGTATATATTTGACCTAATTATGGCCCTTTGTTTTTTTTCATTATATAGAATATATAGTGAACAATTTCTTCTGTGCGCAACTCCTACATTTCTCAACGGATTTTGACCAAACTTTCACAGAAGCTTTGTCATCAAGTGCCCTGGCGCATATTGTCGGGGTTTTGCGATTAGATAATATTTGACCTAATTATGGCCCTTTGTTTTTTTTCCTTATATAGAATATATAGTGAACAATTTCTACAGTGCGCAACTTCTCCTACATTTCTCAACGGATTTTGACCAAACTTTCACAGAAGCTTTGTCATCAAGTGCCCTGGCGCATATTGTCAGGGTTTTGTGATTGGATAATATTTGACCTTATTATGGCCCTTTGTTTTTTTTCCTTATACAGAATTGAACAAATTCTTCTGTGCTGAACTCTTCCTACATTTCTCAACGGATTTTGTTCAAACTTTCACAGAAGCTTTGTCATCAAGTGCCCTAGCACATATTGTCGGGGTTTTGTGATTGTATAATTTTTTACCTAATTATGGCCCTTTGTTTTTTTTCCTTATACAGAATATATATAGTGAACACTTCTTCTGTGCGCAATTCCTCCTACATTATTCATGTTTTACATTGCACATAGTTACATTGTTTGTTGCTTGTATTTGTATTTCAAATACAACATATTTATCTACAATGGTGATAATTGAAAACCTGGTTTCATGGCATTGCCATGTTTCTTGTTTTAAGATGGCCTGATAACTCAAAAAGTACTGGAAATATTTTCATGAAACTTAACATATGGGTAGATGGCAGTCTGGAGATTATGCATGTCTTATCTTTTCTTCCTACCTATTTTGAAAAAATATTGGTTGCCTTGGCAACAAATAGGCTTAAAACATGGCAAATATAACAATATTTGTGATTAGTCAAAAAGAGCTGAAAATTTTTATGAAATTGCATCTTTAATTCAAGAGTTATCTCCTCTTTAAGAATTTTGCTTTTAAAAATGTTATATTTTGGTAACAGGGATGTTTCAAATATTAACTTTAGAGTGTCCTTCAGTCCGTCTGTCTGTCTGTTCATAAAAACTGTTTCCTGTGATCACTTTCAACAAATTTACTTGAAATAGAGAAAAATTGAAACATTAGTGAATGGCCAATGGCCCTTCGGAATGTTGATGGGGTTCTAACCGGTAGGGGACTTATGGATTGCTTGCAATACTATGATAATTGCTTGTTTAAAATAATATCCTCTCAGGTGCCGGGCAGCGTCCAATTTTGACCGGAGCATATCTCCTGTGCGCATTGAGATATATATATATATCTAAATATATGCATATATATATATTTATTACTCATCAAGATTTTTTCCTCCTTTTTGATTGGATATTTTGATTTTACCGAGCCAGACTGATATTAATTCCAAAAAAGTGCGTTCAACAGACTACTGCTTTTCTCTTGTAAGTTGTTTACAATCGTTAGGTTCGAAAGAAAATACGTCATGTATTTATGTGACGTCATGTTGTGGTGAAAGGTTACCCTAAAGGGAATCTTACTTCATTTGAAGTAGCAATGATTTATTTTAAAATCGTCTTAACTCGACAGGGGAAGGGTAATAAAATTATTGTTATGCCACCGCAGCATCTGCGATGCGGTGGCATATAGCGATTCACCTGTGTGTGTGTTTGTTTGTGTGTGTGTGTGTGTGTGTGTGTGTTATATAGATTATATAGTGAACTTAAAAAATCTTCTTGTGAAAAACCACTAGTCCAATTTAAACCAAACTTGGCAGGATTGATCCTTGGGTGAAGGGCTTCCAAAGTTGTTCAAAGAATTTCATTCCATGCAGAAATCTGGTTGCCATGGCAACCGAAAGGAATTATAAGAATAAATTTAAAAAATCTTCTTGTAAAGACCCAGAAGGCCTAGAGCTTAGATATTTTGCATAAGGCATTGTCTGGTAGACCTCTACCAAGATTGTTCAAATTATAGCCCTGGGGTCAAAATCGGCCCCGCCCCAAGGGTCATTGATTTTCACTATATGTACATATAGTAAAAACTAAAAATACCTTCTTGTAAAGACCCAAAAGGCCTAGAGCTTAGATATTTTGCATAAGGCATTGTCTGGTAGACCTCTACCCAGATTGTTCAAATTATAGCCCTGGGGTCAAAATGGGCCCCGCCCCGGGGGTCATTGATTTTCACTGTATGTACATATAGTAAAAACTTAAAATACCTTCTTGAAAAGACCCAAAAGGGCTAGAGCTTAGATATTTTGCATAAGGCATTGTCTGGTAGACCCTTACCAAGACTGTTCAAATTATAGCCCTGGGGTCAAAATTGGCCCGGCCCCAGGGGTCATTGATTTTCACTATATGTAAATATTGTTAAAACTTAAAATACCTTCTTATAAGGACCCAAAAGGCCTAGAGCTTAGATATTTTGCAGAAGGCATTGTCTGGTAGACCTCTACCAAGATTGTTCAAATTTATAGCCCTGGGGTCAAAATCAACCCCGCCCCGGGGGTCATTGGTTATCCTTACATGTATATAGTAAAAACTTACCGTAAAAACTTAAAAAAAAATCTTCTAGTAATTGTCAAATGCTAGAGGTAAGATACTTTGCATGAAACATAGTGTAGTGAAGCTCTAGCAAGATTGTTCAAATTATAACCCTGGGGTCAAAATTGGCCCCACCCCTAGGGGTCATTGATTTTCACTATGAACATAGAGTAAAAATTAAAAAATCTTCTTATCTGAAGGTACAAGGCTTAAAGCTTTGATATTTGGTATATAATATCATCTTTGGGTCCTCTACTAAAGTTGTTTTAATTATACCCCTAGTGTTGAAATTGCCCTGCCCCAGAGGCGCTAGATTTCCTTATATGTATAAAGTAAAAACTTGAAAAATCTTCTTCTCTGAATTGACAAAGGCTAGAGTTGAAATATATGGCATGAGACTTTGCGAAGTGAACCTCTACCAAGATTGTTCAAATTTTAGCCCTGGGGTCAAAATTGGTTCCGCCCCGGGGGTCATTGATTTACATTATGTATATCTAGTAAAAAAATAAAAAATATTTTTGTCTGAAGGTACAAGGCATAGAGCTTTCATGTTTGCTATATAATATCATCTATAGGTCCTCTACCAAAGTTATTCAAATTTTTCCCCTGGTGTCAAAACTGGCCCTGTCCAGGGGCATGATTCTCATTATGTACACATAGTAAAAACAGAAAATAAATCAAATGTTTTCTGAATGGGAGAAAGCTTCAGCTTAGATATTTGACTTGAAATGTTGTTTGGTGGACCTGTATCAAGATTGTTCTGAATTAAACCCTTGGGTCAAAATTTTGCCTTGACCAAGGGGACAGTGACCTACTTTCTTGTCCTTTGATGTACAGCAATGAAATTTTGACCATGTGCACAGTTTTAGTTGTAAAATTGAACTTTGATATCAGGTGACCTAGATTTTGATAATGTGACCTACTTTCTTGTGCTTTGATCTACAGCTATGAAATTTGAACCATGTGCACAGATTAAGATGTAAAGTGGACTTTGATATCAGCTTACCTAGATTTTGACAAAGTGTCTTACTGTGTTGTCCTTTGATGTAGTCATGAAATTTGGCTGTGTGAAATATGACCTTCACCACCAAATTCACTAGACTCAAGTGCATTGATATATTCCTGCTCTGATCTTTTATTTGATTAACAATAGATTTAATCACTAATCTGATAATAAGAATTAGATAGGTCAGGGATCTATGCATTATGACAATCTTCAATTGTATAGAAACAAAAAAAAATCTGTTCCTACACTACTATTTAGTGTTGTATTAATGCGGTGGCATAGCATTTTTCTCAAATGCAATCTTGTTTTGGTTTTGGAGTGATATATGTGGATATATTACCTGCCAAGATAAAATATCACCAGAGCCGTTATAAAATCTTCACATTTGCCCTGATGATCAGAAGAAAAACCGGTTGGCAAATAATTTAATAATTTGCCCACCGGTTTCTCTTATGATCATCAGGGCAAATGTGACATTGTCGCATAGTAACAGCGACATTTGTGTGTACACATGTGT